CATCCTGTGGGAACCCGACCTGCGCCTTCCGGAGGTGAGGGCCTCTGTAAGAGGGCGGAGTCCTAGCACGCGGGTGGAGCCTCTGTGGGGCGGAGCCTGTGGGGGCGGGACGAGGTCCGGGCAGGCCGAGCTCGCCCGCATCTGCTGGCCCAGACGCCGCTTGTGCGGAGCTCTGTGGCTGCGGAAGCAGGTGAGAGACTTCTACCGGGAAGGGGATGACGGGAGGTGGCTTATGGCTCCGACCGCAGTCCATGATCACCCGCTCGGGCCAGGCCCAGCGTGAGGCCTTGCCGGCGCCAGAGTGACGTGAAGGCTCTCCTGAACCCAAGACTGACTGCGGGGTTGTGAGCCCTTCCAAACTTCTCCAACCACCTGACAACCCTCGGACTCCCAGGTGCGGAGGAGGCCTGGTCATCACTGCCAGATATCCTAACCCCCAACACTTGGCTGCTGTGGAAAAAGCTTCCCGACAGGATTGCTTCCTCAGCTTTGGAGTGTATTTACCGTAACTCATCCATCCCCTCCATCAGCAGAGGTCTAGGATAGGGGCCAAATCCCTCTTGCAGTGACTCAGGTCCACCATTCCTACTGGAAGGATGGGGTATGGGTGGATGGCCCTTAACCTCTCCCTTAACTGGTTCACACCACTCTGATGCGTACATCTTTTCCTCTCCACTTGACTTGTTACCCTACTCTGGTTTTTTGCCTCCCTCTTCATCGGTAAGACACAGGGCTGAACCAGGGTCCCCAGGGTAAGTGATCCATACTCAGCAAAGGCCATATAGATGGAGGTCTGGGGCCAGAGACTGATCAGGATCCAGAGAACTTAAAGGCACCTGGCAAGCCATAATGTAAAACCTGCTGTGTCCACTGCCATCTCGTTGCCCCAGTTCTAGCAGATAATTCTAGGGTGATAACTATCTAGTTGACACATGGAAAGAGACAGACCCCTCCTTTCACTCCAAGTTACTCCACCCTTAGAAATACTCAGGTTCCACTGTAAGTTTAAATTTCTAGTAGGTGGCTCACACTTTTATCCCAACATTTGGGTGTAATCAGAGACTGCTCTTTTCTTTTCCCAGCCACTCAGACCCAAATAATCACATAGAAACTATACTCTCTATATTCTCCCAGCCTGGCTATATTCTGCCCTGCCATAGGCCAAAGTAGTTTATTAATCAATGGTAATAAGACATATTCCTAGCATACATCATTTTGGGAGGCAGAGGCAGGTAGATCTTTGACTTCCAGCCCACTCTACATGGTGAATTTCAAGCCAGCTGAGGCTCTTTCTCGACAACAAAAAGTCTCTGGTAGGGCTGAATGTGGTAACCTACTCCTTTTAATTCCAGCACTTAGAGACAGAGACAAGCAGATCTCTGTGTGTTTAAGGCCAGCCTAGTGTACATAGTGAGTTGCAGGCCAACCAGGACTACATATAGAGACCCTGGAAGGGGAATGTATGCCAGAAGTCTCTGAGCAGAGGTTTTCGGATATAGAAGTAACTATGAGAGTTCAAATTCTGAATCTGGAGAGCTTTAACAAGAGGTTACCTTGTGAATATCTAACCCAGTACTACTGTAACTTCCTTGAGAAGTAGGGATGTGCTTCTCACAAGAACTCCCATCTCATTAGTATAGGAGGGCAGGTAGGACAGGACATGTAGCCACAACAATGGTTTACCCAACTCCATGTCAGTAGCAAACATCACCCCCTGCAGACACTGGTTCAGTAAGTCACATACTGCCCATGTCACTTTGTCACCACTTTGTAGCTGGCAAATGGCATTCAGATTCCCCTATTCTGTTTTAGAACCTGGATCTGGTACAAGGCAATGTTCCCATCAGCACCCTTTTTTTCTTCATTTTTGGAGACAGGGTTTCTCTATGTATTCCTGAGACTCAGTTGTAGTCCAGACTGGCCTCAAATTTACAGAGATCTGCCTCCTGAGTGCTGGGATTAAAGGTGTGCGCCACCATCTCCCATTGGCACATTTTGTTCTCTGACTAGTCTCCTTGTCTTCCCCAGGAAGCTATTTTTTTATTTGATTTGCTTTGTTTGGAAACGGAGTATCAAGTCCTCCAAGCTGCCCTGGAACTGGCTATGTAACTGAAGGGTGATCTTGAACTGATTGTCTTGCCTCCACTTCCCAAGTGCTAGGATGACAGCAGTGAGCCACAATACCTAGCCCCTCTAGGAAGCAATTTAGTTCATTCCTACAGTGCTATTACGGCATCTTGATAGTGTGGAGTAGACTAGTGGTGACAGGGTTAGAGATTGCTCTCCTAAAACCCTCAGTACTAGAACATCTCTAAAAGGTCACCGTAGTAGGCAAGTCCAGAGAATTGGCAGACTGAGTGGGGTTTCCTATATGTAGGTGACCTCTCTTGAGGAATGAGAAGCTTGAGGCAGCTGTACTGGAGGAAATGGTTGCAAGGACCAGTACTATCCCCAAACTAGAAGTAAAAGGTTCTCTGAGAGCCCCATGCTCCTGAGCTTGCAGTTTCTCCTCTCATAAGCCTTTTTTTTTTTTTTTTTTTTTTGCCCCTTCTCTTTTCAGAGGAAGCCGTGATATCAAAGAAGACCACACAGGACCAGGACCTTCCCATGGACCCTTCTCAGGATATTCCAATAGCACAAGCAAGGGTGTTCCTCTAAGACAAAAGGAGTCACGATCCTTTGAGGAGTGCCATGGTGGTCAGGAGAAGCAGAGGTAGCTCCCAACAGTTGCCTAGCCTGGGACAGAGTTGTTGTACAAGTCTCCTAGGTATGCTCAGAGCTACCCTGCTGCTCATCAGCCTGCCATGGGGGGCCCAAGTGATGGCCAGTGCCAACCTCAGCACTGCTCTGGGCCACACTGTGCCACTGACCAGTGGTCACTATTTGAGCATTGGGGATGGCTCAGTGACAGAGTTTGAGTTTCCTGAGAAGAGTGAGGGTATCATTGTGATCTCTAGCCAATACTCGGGACAGGCCGATGGGACAGGAGTCAGCCCCACACTGAGGGTTATATCCCTGGACACAGAGGTACTAACCATCAAGAATGTGAGTGCCATAACCTGGGGCAGTGGGGGTGGCTTTGTGGTGAGCATCCACTCAGGTCTGGCTGGGCTGGCCCCACTCCACCTCCAGCTCATGGACTTCCATGAGGCCCCACCCTTGCTGATTGAAGAACGAAAAGATTTCTGCATCAGGGTGTCACCTGCTGAAGATATCCCTTCTACCCTCAACCCCAACTTGGGCCACTTCTCAGAGAACCCAATTCTGTACCTGCTCCTGCCTCTTATCTTTGTCAACAAGTGTTCATTTGGGTGCAAAGTGGAACTTGAAGTTTTGAAGGAGCTTCTACAGAGTCCCCAACCCATGCTGTTGGGTCTCTTGGGCCAGTTTCTGGTCATGCCCTTCTATGCTTTCCTGATGGCCAAAGTCTTCATGCTACCCAAGGCCTTGGCTCTGGGCCTCATCATTACCTGCTCATCACCTGGCGGTGGGGGGAGCTATCTTTTCAGTCTCCTCCTTGGAGGAGATGTCACCCTGGCCATCTCCATGACTTTCATCTCAACAGTAGCTGCCACGGGTCTCCTGCCACTCTCATCAGCTCTCTACAGCCGTCTTCTCAGCATCCATGAAACACTCCACGTGCCCATCTCCAAGATACTGGGGACTCTGCTGTTCATCGCCATCCCCATAGCAGCAGGTGTGGTGATCAAGTCTAAGCTCCCCAAGTTCTCAGAGCTGCTGCTACAGGTCATCAAGCCCTTCAGCTTTGTACTTCTCCTAGGTGGCCTATTCCTGGCCTACCACATGGGGGTCTTCATCTTAGTGGGAGTCAGGTTACCCATTGTACTGGTGGGCTTCACAGTGCCCCTGGTTGGCCTCTTGGTGGGCTACAGCCTGGCCATGTGCCTGAAGCTGCCAGTGGCCCAGAGGCGGACAGTCAGCATTGAGGTAGGGGTGCAAAACAGCCTGCTAGCCTTAGCCATGCTGCAGCTGTCTCTGCGCCGCCTTCAAGCAGATTATGCTTCTCAGGCCCCCTTCATTGTGGCACTGAGTGGTACCTCCGAGATGCTGGCTTTGGTTATTGGCCAGTTCATCTACAGCAGCTTGTTTCCTGTTCCCTGAGGACCCTGGCTGAAGTTTTCTAACCCCAGTCCTCACACTCCATCCACTCTCCCCACAATTCTTATGTGCCAAAGGCCTTTAGTTCTCATGCACTATGCATTCAGACAAATCCAGGCTTATTTTTTGTTACTTTTTTTTTCAGCTTTCAGTGCCAAAGAGGCTAATGCTGAGTTAGAAATATATTTCAATAAAAGACAAAAGCAAGTTTGGGTCCATTACAGTCTTTGTCCCTTGGAGCCTATGAATGGGGATAGGAAGTGTGTCTGGGCTGGTATGGGCCAGAATGGTGAACAGGCTTGGCGATCCTGCAGAGCCTACTCTCTCCTGGCTCCCTGTTTTGCACATGGTAGACAAGTGTTGTACCTTTGAGCTGTATCCCCAGACCTACAAAAGCTTTTCTCTATCAGCTCTCCCCAACGGGGCAGACCCCTCTGTTCTATAATGAGTGAGGATATAAAAGGCCTGGGTTCAATACTTCAGGGCCTCAGTCAGGATATTTTTGCAGCCAGACTACAAAGGAAGAAGTAGAAAGCCTCGGGCTATGGCAGGTAGGACTGGATCATTTCTGTATCTGAGAGACATCACAAGTCTGCACTGACTTGGTCCACCAGCCGCGTAGGAATTAGCGCAGGCCAGGCCTTGCCTGAAGCTGACATCCTGGTCCTTCTACTTACAGCTTCCAAGTGAAGCAAGCCTGACCCCGCAGGTTCCTCACTTCGGTCCCAGGGGGCGGGATACCCCCACTTCCCCGCACCAAAGCCACTGAAGGCTTGTAGGCCGAGGTGGGGGGCAGGGAGGCAGACTCTACCCCAGGCTCCAGCAGGCGCGAAGGCCCGGAGGCGGGACTGAAGAATATGGGCGGGAGCCACGCGGCGGGCGCGCCCCTTTCACGGCTTCCGGCGGGCGGTTCCGGCGCGTGCCCGGGGCGGCGGCGCGCGCGGCAGGGAACCGTTGGGGTTTGCATTGGCCCTAGTGGACGCGGCTGTGGACACCATGCAGCTGACCGTGAAGGCGCTCCAGGGCCGGGAGTGCAGCCTACAGGTAAGGTCACCCCTGCAGGCTGCTGCACTCACATACTCTTGCCGCTGGGGGCCAATGGCGGGCGGGGGAGGTCGGGAGAGCTGACCCCAGGAGGGGGCACAAGGGCTTCGTCACCCAGGGAATTCGGGCTAAACCCTTGCCTCTCCACCTCGGCCCGGTCAGGTGCCGGAGGACGAGCTAGTGTCTACACTGAAGCACCTGGTCTCGGATAAGCTGAACGTCCCTGTGCGCCAGCAACGTCTGCTGTTCAAGGGCAAGGCCCTAGCAGGTAACTAGGGAAAGAAACCATCCAGGGACCCCCACAGGAAGTTGGAAACAGGGGGGACGGGATGTACAAGCCAATGTAATGAATTAGGGCACTGACTGCCATTGGACCTCAGAAAAGTAATTGAGCCACCACCACCCCACCACCCCATAGCCAAATGCTGCAGTGCTTCACTCTGGCTGGCTGTGGCAAGATTGCTCTCTGGCCACCCCCACAGCAGTGAGGAAGGAACCCCACCAATCTCTCTTTGGCAGATGAGAAACGACTGTCAGATTACAACATCGGGCCCAATTCTAAGCTCAACCTAGTCGTTAAACCTTTGGAGAAGGTGCTACTAGAAGAAGGGTCTGCCCACAGACTGGTCGACTCCCCACCCCTACCCCTCTGGCAGCTGATCTCCAAAGTCCTGGCCCGTCACTTCAGTGTAGCAGATGCCAGCAGGGTCCTGGAACAACTACAGAGGGTGAGGAGAGTAATGCTGGACCTCCAATCTTAATGCTTCTAGCCCCAGCCCCTCCTGTTCTAGCATACTCCTTGCAACTGGCACTCCCTGAACCCACCTGCTCTTCTCTCCTCAGGATTATGACAGGTCCCTGAGCCGTCTAACACTGGATGACATCGAACGTTTGGCCAGCCGCTTTCTACACCCTGAAGTAACTGAGGCTATGGAAAAAGGGTTCTCCAAATAGCATTCTGGGATTGGGGGGAGAAATTCTAGGTCAGGCCACAGCTGCATGTTGCATTAAATGTGTTCTCATGTCGCAGTTTGGCTCATAGTGATAATAATAGCTGGTATGTACCCAGCTCTTGCTAGGTGCTAGGCACTACTCAAAGTACTTGGCCTGAATTCTCTTCTGCCTCCCACAGGACAGTTGAGGTTGCACTGTAGAGACACCTAGCAATGGCTTGGGACAGCCAGAGTCCAAGTCTAGCCAGTCTTAGAAGTGCCTCTGTAGGAGAAAGAGTGTGCTGTTTTGAGGGATGGGCCTTACCATTCCCATTTAGCCCACTCAGCATACACCCTCAACTCCCTCAGGAAGCCGCTAGTCCCTGTCACTTGCCCTCTAGTGTATCTGGCATAGCCCTTGGCAAATCTCCATAGGAAGCCAAGTGGTAGCCATCCAGGGCCCCTCTGCTGCAGCAGCCAGTGTGCTCTTGATGTATGACACAGGGGCTGGAGGATCAGAAAGATACCCCAGCTCCGATGTATGACTTGAGTCAAGTTTCCGTGCCACTTTGGTCCCCAACCATTGAATCTGTTCAATGATGGCCACTCATCTGACCGGAATAAGTTTCCTTCCCCCTTTGCCAGCTCTCATCACCTGCAGTTCTACCTTGTGTTCAGTAAGCAAACTGAAGCCAAGCATGGGCCACAGATGGAGTATCCTGGGCCTCCGTGACATAGCTCTTTTTGGGGCCACCCTATCTGCTTGGCTCCTCCTGGAAGTGGGTCTCATCCATGAGGGACAGCAGGTGACTCAGCAAGGCATTGTCACAACTAGGACTCTGCCTTGGTCTCCTCACCCAGCGCTCACTCACAACATGAGACGGATGCTTCCTCTGCCACCTGTGTACAGGGGCATTTACTTTGCACACCTTCATTGCTTAAGAAGAAACTCAGGGTGCTGAGGAGGAAATAGAGATGTAAGCTGAAGACAGTGATTCTTCTTTTCAGTGTACCTATGCTTGGGTGCTAAAGGTCATGTAAGTACTAGCTCCTTTGAGGAGGACCCCCTGGGAGCAGTTGAGGCTGGAAGATAGCCATCTTCAGGACACGACTCCTGCCCCTCCACTCTTGCCAAGGAAGCCACTCTGAATGTTGTCGGGGCTACACTTGCCTTTCTTGCCCAAGGGCCTCCTGGGACAAATCTTGAGTCCCCATAATGGAATGATAAACTAAAGTGAGGCCTGAGGGGATGAGCAGCTGATAGACCCTGGTCCTCCCTAAGACTTGGGATATCACATCAGGGACCTGCTTGTGAGCACATATATGGACTGGCAGCTCAGATAATAAGCTTACCAATGTCCTTGTCAGGGAACGTGTTTGGAAAATTAAATAACACTAAAGGTGCATGTGAGACTTTTCACCAAAATGAACTCTATTATTAAACTAGGCTGCTTTTGGTTTCCAATAATTGGTTTAACAACACAGGAAACATGTTGGCTTATAAAACTGAAAAAGCCCAGGAGTGCTGGCAGTGGATGAACAATTTCACCAGCTTTTTTCCTGCCTCCCTCTGAATTCTCCAGGATCTACTTCATCCTTACCACTACTTCCAAGGATCAAAGGGTGGCTGCCTGCAGCTTCATCAAAACCCTTCATTCTCTGCCAGTGAGGAGCACTTTCTGTAGCATAGCTTCTGTCTCAGATGCCCCAGCAAATAAATGCTGTCTCTTATTGGTCAGAACTGAATCCTGTGTAATTACTTGGGCTGGGCATATGGGAAAAGGAGCTGTTGATTATCTGTTAACAGCTACTCAGCCGGTCTTGGTCTACTTTCCTGGGCACATGTGAGCTGTACCAGCTGTCCCTCATTCTGGTGGATGCAGATGGCAACTGTCCACTACAGGAAATAACTAAACCAGAAAGAGCTTGACTCCCTTGGAGATAGTAAAGGAGGAAGGGATGAGGACTCAAGACAAGGAGTGTTTTCTGAGACTTGCATCCAAAGACTCTTCAAGTTTCTAAAGGTAGAAACAAACCATGGACGTGTTCATGAGTCTCTTGAGCCAGTGTTCCTCAATTCAGAGCACCGGAAGTCTTTAAAATGGTCACCTTAGCCAGAGATGAGACAGTGGTGTTTAGATGAGTACCATTGGCAGGTTTTGCTGTGTAGCTACCTATAGAGCAAGAAAATAGAGGGTTCATCGGGAATCAGGCTATGCCTGAAACAGAACATTCACAAGTGTAGGAAGGGGTCCAACTGACAACTGATTGCCTTGGGAGGCTGGGATGGCTATGTGGGAAGTCAGGGACAGGAGATAAGATTGGACATAGAGATAAGTGAAGAGCCCTCAAAGGGGGCCCTATAATGAAAAAGCTGATCCAGAAAAGTAGGAAGACTCCTTTTGATAGTCAACTATTGTATTTTTATGCAGAGTACTTCCCGTTTCATTCTCTTCTGACTGCCAAATGTAGGAAGTAGATGAGCAATAACTTGAACCCAGGTCTAGCTTTATTCTTTGGGCTCATGTGAGCATACTGCTATAGCCAGGAATTTTCTTTACACAGAGAATATTAGATACTGGAAGGATGACTGAGGTGGCTGACCTGAGAAAGGAGCTAAGGAAGAAAGGAGAGGTCTCAAATTCAAGGAGCCAGCTTCACTAACCAGAGGAGTTTAGAAGGGAGCCCGAGGTAAAGGTATTGATTGACAGGAGGTGGTCACAAGTGCAAGTCAAGGGCAGGCCTCCAGAAGAGAGAGACCATTGGTGCTGCCACTACAGGGACAAGATGGAGCCTCTCTCTGGAGTTCTTAATATGTAGGTTATTGCCACTGTATGACAGGCCAAGGAGTCCTCAGGAACCTTTCATTCCACAAGATGTGTGTACAAAGGAATGGAGACAAATAGGTAATGTTTGTTAGGTCTCAAATCCAGAACAAATGGCTGAGATGCCCACTGAACATATCAAAGCAGACACAGCCACCAGGTTCTCCCATATCTCTCAGTCCCTACCTATTCCAGGATCCTCCTGGGTGGCATTCCCCATCCCCTATGTTCAACGTCTCCAGCCCAGGAGGCTGGGCTGCTCTTCTATAAATAATCCAACTATTTTGGTTGCCTGCCCTTTTTGTCTGGCCCTTACCTTCCTGGCTTCTAGGTCCCTTTCCATTCCACACCATCCTCACATGGGTCAGGGTCATGTCCACTCTGGACTCCCCTGGATGTTCCTGCCTCTGGCTATGTGCTCCCACATGTCTGCAATACACTTTCTCCTCCACCGTACCTAGGAGCAGTCATGTTCATTTCCTTTCCTTTTCCTTTTATTTCTTTTTTCATTCAGTGTTAAGCCTTGGGGAGTTCTGTCAGGGCAAGGATGTCAGATAAGAGGAGGGAAGACAAGAGATGACAAATGCTGCTTGAATAAGCAATAGGAAGGGGGCCATAAGAGAAGGCTGGGAACTTGGTGAAAATATAGTGACTGCAGGTGCAGACCTTTCCTTTGCCCTGAATTTGGTATGGCCCTCCATGCACCAGCAGACTCTAAATTCTTGGGGCCCTCATCAGGGATTGGAACATTAGCCATAGGCACTGTGCCCTGCTGAGCCGCACACGTACACCCAAGTGGCAATAATCCGCTCCCTGCTCCCTGCTCAATACAAGTTCCTGAGAACCCTTCCTGACTCTCAGATTGGGGCCCTGGTCCTAGGTATGAGATGTGATCACTATCACACCAGAGATAGCAGCAGAAATGAAGGTCCTGGCTCAGGCGGTCTCCCAAAGACCGAAATGTTCAGAGAGCTGGGATGAGATTTGGTGGGCCAGCAGGAGTGGCAGACTAAGGAGCTCAGCTTTTATGGTGAGCCTCATTGAGTTGGATATTCACAGGGGATAGATTAATTAATGAGACAGTTTTTGGTGTGAATTTATGATTTCTTTCATGTCTATATGAACATGGCAAAGTAACACAAGAAGAGCCGCCAAACAACCACATTTTAGAACAGTCTGAGCATCCTTCATCCAACTGAACCTTTCAGAAAAGAACCATGAAAGTTTGGGACATTCCCTCATGCCTCCTTCCTGTTACAATAACTTTATTCTAGCAACTCAATATACTCTAGGCCCACCTTATAAACTTTCTTGCCCTTGACTAAGGATCAGCCTTTTACTAGAGAATGGTATTTATTTGTTTCTCTGTTTATTGAATTGTATTTAGAAACTAAGATCTATGTGAAAGATGTGGTCACTATTTCTAGACTCCTATAATAGACAAGCCTTAGAAATATATATACCCATATATATTAAGAAATCACAAGTTCGAGTCGGGCAGTGGTGGTGCACACCTTTAATCCCAGCACTTGGGAGGCAGAAGCAGGCAGATCTTTGTGAGTTCGAGGCCAGCCTGGTCTACAAAAGCTAGTTCCAGGACAGGCTCCAAAGCTACAGAGAAAAAAAAGAAGAAGAAATCATAAGTTCACGCTGAAACCTTCAGCCATAGTTTTGTGTCACAGTTCTTTCACACCTTCCTCATTCCACAGTGAAAATTCTAGCTTCTGACAGCATCGATATATTTACTCATTTGTTCTACCAGATAAAGTCTATCTTAATATGTACCCAAAATAGCTTCACACTCACCTCATCCAGACCATTATCCACATTAAATATGCTAAGAAGGAAGCCAGTTATCTTTGTGCACAAGAGAGTATGGTAGTAGAATTATATATAAAGGGCACTGAATTAGCTGGATGTGGTGGTGCATACTTGTAGTCCCAGGTACTCAAGTAACTCTAAGGTCATTTCAGTTCAGGACACAGAGACCAATTGACCAACAATTGATTCTTTACAAAAAAGAAATTAAAACATGGAAAAGGGGGCCAGGTGGTGGTGATGCACACCTTTAATTCCAGCACTCAGGAGGCAGAGCGGGTGGATCTCTGAGATCGAGGCCAGCCTGGTCTATAAAACGAGTTCCAGGCGGGCTCCAAGGGTACACAAAGAAATCCTGTCTTGTAAAAAATGTAAAAGAGACGGGCTGGAGAGATGGCTCAGTGGTTAAGAGCATTGCCTGCTCTTCCAAAGGTTCTGAGTTCAGTTCCCAGCAACCACATGGTGGCTCACAGCCATCTGTAATGAGGTCTGGTGCCCTCTTCTGGCCTGCAGGCATACACGCAGACAGAATATTGTATACATAATAAATAAATATTTAAAAAAATGTAAAAGAGACAGTAAGGTGACTCAGCAGGTAAAAGCCTTTGCTGCACAAGCCTGGAAGGCAGCTATCTCAATCCCTATAGAAAAGCATTTCAAGTAGTTTCTGGTTTAGCCTTCCTGAAAATTTTACCACAGTAATTATGTGTACCTGCATGTGTGTTAAATTCCTGCTATGCTTTTTTCTTTTCTTTTCTTTTTTGCCTTTTACTTCCTTGTTTCATGAGACAGGAAGACTACCAAGTACTCTCTATATAGCCCAATCTAGCCTCAAACTCATGGCAATCCTCCTGCTTCAGCCTCTCAAGTACTTGAATCACAGAAGTGCTATCATGTCCAGTTTTGGTTTGTCTGCTTATTTTTGTATTTTTTGGTGATAATACAGATTGATCCCAGAGTCTTGTACACTCTAGGAAAGAATTTAACCAATAAAACATATCCTCAGCTTTTCTCCCATTTAAAAATTAATGTTAAAAGCCAGGCATGATGGTGCATGCCTTTACTCACAGCACTCAGGAGGCAGAGATAGGTGGTTCTCTGTGAGTTTGAGGCCAGTTTGGTCACATAGTTCCAGGATGGCTAAGAATATATTGACAGACTCCATCTCAAAAACAAACAAAAACAAAAAATAAAAATTAAATAATCTTTTAGGTTACCCTACAAAGTAATTGATTTCATCATAGCGTCTTCATTTTTTAAATTTCTTTTTAATTTTCCCCCTTTCATTTAAAATACATTCTTGCCAGGCAGTGGTGGTACACACCTTTAATCCCAGCACTTGGGAGACAGAGGCAGCCAGACGTCTGTGAGTTCAAGGCCAGCCTGATCTACAGAGTGAGTTCCAGGACAGGCTCCAAAGCTAAACGAAACTCTGTCACAAAAATAAAGAAAGAAGAAGAAAATAGATTATTTTCTCACACAATTTATCCAGATTACACTTTCCCCTCTCCTTCTACCCCCTTTCTATCTCTCATTAGAAAAGAACAGACTTCTAAAAGATAACAACAAAACATAACAAAATAAAATATAACAAGATAAAAGCCATCACACAAAAGTTGGACAAGGCAAACTAACAGAAGGAAAAGAGCCCCAAGAGAAGGCATAAAAATCAAAAACCCACTTATTCACACACTCATGAGTTCCATAAAATACTAAAATATAAAATACTCTATTATGTATTTTAATATTTAAATACTATAAAATACTATATTATGAAAGCTATAATATACATACACAGAGGACCTGGTTCAGACCCTGTGCTTATTGCTTCAGTCTTTGAGCTCATATGAGCTTTGATCAGTTATTTTAGAGGTTCTTATTTTCTTGGTGTCCTCCATCCCCTCTGGTTCTTAGACTCTTTCCACCTCCCCATTTCCATGGTGCTCCCTGAGACATTCAATTTAGAGCTGTGTGCTCTGAGCTCTCTCTTTCCCTCTCTTCATCCATCTCCCTCTCCTTCTTCTTCTCCTCTCTGTGGTAATATCTGGCTGTATATGTAGGTCTCTGTTCCTATCTGCTACCGGAGAAGCTTCTTTGAGAGTAACACTGATCTATGAGCATAGCAGAATATCATTAGGAGTAATTTTATCTCTATTTTTATACCAGTAAGTTGTATCTAGTTTTACCCTAGGTTTCTGGGATATCTAGTCTCTGTTTCTTGCTCACCCGAGCAGTGTTGGGTATGGGTTCTATTGTTGATATTCTGAGTTATGAGGGATGATCAAAGAAAGAGGTCCCTCCAAGATATAATCAGGCTCTGAGGCAGAAGGAAGAAGTAGTCTCTGACAGACTGAACCCCAAAGAGCCATGCAGAAGCATATTTATTGTTACACAGAAGTTTTTTGGGCAAAACAAGTTCCTCATACCAAAGCCCCTGATCTAATCTATATGTTTTGTGAAGGAAAACATCACACCCCTGCAACTTTAGTCTTTATTGTGTACTGTTTGAAATACTCAATAATGCATGGCATTCCAGGTTTGACAGAACCATATAGTTACTAAAGTCATGCAAAAGCTGTAAAGGTCCTTCATAAAAACAACTGTATAGAAAACAAAAAAAAATCACTGTTTTCTATAACAATTTTTTCAAGGTACTTCAAGAAAGCACTTATTTCATTCTAATGTTTACCCTGGATACAATAGCTAGTAGTGACTCTACTAGATTAACTACTATATTCCAGTTCATGGAGTAAGCCTTAAGTCAAATCAGACATTGGTTGATTACTCCCACAAGCTTTGAGCCACCATTGCCCTAGCATATTTTTCAGGAAAGCATTGTAGATCAAAGAGTTTGTGACTGGGTTGTTGTTTTCTCTCTCTCTCTCTCTCTCTCTCTCTCTCTCTCTCTCTCTCTCTCTCTCTCTCTCTCTCTCTCTCTTTGGTTTTTCAAGACAGGGTTTCTCTGTGGCTTTGGAGCCTTACTTGGAACTAGCTCTTGTAGACCAGGCTGGCCTAGAACTCACAGAGATCCGCCTGCCTCTGCCTCCTGAGTGCTGGGATTAAAGGCTTGCGCCACCATGCCATTAAAGGCTTGTTTCTCTTTTGAGAGCCTGTAGAGCACCTTCCTGTACCAAATATACTAGAGCATAGGGGTGAAGGTTCTATGTAGGCACCAGCTTATCCTATCCATGTTCAGTAAGTTCTGTAGTCTTGTCTTGAGCAATGGGACTTTACTATTACTTTGAGGAAAGCAATCTATTATCTTGGCAACAACCTGGGTTGTTTGGGGGTTTCCATGGAACCCCTTGACCAACAACACAATTGGATGTAACCCAGTTGTGGTACTAGAAGTGTCATTTGGTGACAAGAGATGGCCAGTTGGGACTGCATCTCCCTCATTATTTGGAGACTCATTATTTGGAGACCCTCATTATTAGGATCACCTTCATATATTTTAGCATTTATCATTTAAGTGTTTCTCAGCCATTTGAGTTTCCTCTATTGAGAATTCTCTGTTTAGACCTATACCCCTTTTTAAATTATATTATTTGATTCTTGTTATCAAGTTTCTTTAATTCTTTTTGTTTGTTTGTTTGTTTTTCAAGACAGGGTTTCTCTTTAACTTTGGTTCCTGTCCTGGAACTAGTTCTGTAGACCAGGCTGGCCTCGAACTCACAGAGATCCACCTGCCTTTGCCTCCCAAGTGCTAGGATTAAAGGTGTGTGCCACCACTGCCCGGCTTCTTTAATTCTTTATATATTTTGGATATTAGTTCTCTATTGAATGTGGAGTTGGCAAAAGTCTTTTTCCATTCTGTAGGCTGCTGCTTTGTCCGAATGATGATATTTTTTGCCTTACAGAAGCTTTTCAGTTTCTGTTATCATTCTTTTACATGCAGACGTTCAGTTTGACCAGCACCATTGGTTGAAAATGCTGTCTTGTTTTCCAGTGTGTATTTCTGGCTTCTTTATCAAAAAAGAGGTGTCCAAAAGTATGTGGATTTATATGGGTCTTCAATTCAATTCCACTAACCAATGTGTCTGTTTTCATGCCAATGCCATGCTGCTTTTAATACTGTAGCTTTGTAGTACAACTTGAAATTAGGAATTGTGCGACCTCCAGAAGTTTTTGTTGTTGTTTTTGTTTGTTTGTTTGTTTGTTTATTGTTCAGAATTGTTTTATCTGTCTTGCTTTTTGTTTTCTTTTGGTTTTTGTTTTGGGGGTTTGTTGTTGTTGTAGTAGTTGTATAAGTTAAATTTGGACATACAGCTTACCCAATCAGTTACATCTTATCAATATTAGTGGAGGCAAGAAGATTAGAAGGAATATTTTAGTCTCTGGTTTTTAGCTGTGGTCCTGAGACCTAGAGTATAACCCTAATCTGTAGAAGACAAAACCAAGTTTTAACATCCTTGTGAATTCCTGGGAATTTTCCTAGTGCCTGATTTCTCACTAACCCCATAATGGCTCCTTCTTTCAATGTATCTTTTTCCTTGGTCTCCCTCTGTGTCCTTCACCCAACTCAATCTTTCTGATCATTCATGTTCTCCTCCCTGCTCCTCTTCTCACCTCACTACTCCCCCTACTACACCCCCCACCTCCCCATGCCCCACCTCCCTCCCCCTGCTGCCACTACCAAAGAGATCTTGTCTACTTCCCTTCCAGGGGGGAATCCATGTATGTCTCTCTTAGGGTTCTCGTTGTTTCCTGTCGTCTCTGGGGTTGTGGCCTGCAGGCTGGTTATCCTTTATTTTATTTTATTTTATTTTATCCACTTATGAGTGTGTGTATACCATGTTTGTTTATCTGTCTATCTGTGTCTGGGTTACCTCACTCAGGATGAGAGCTGCTATCCTAAATGCTGGAATTTCAGGCAGGCAACATCCCACTAGGCCAATTTTTTTGGTTTATAGTATTTTATTGCTATTTTTGATTGTTTTGTTTTGATTTGTGTAAATATCACCTTAGATCCTTTTTTTCCTTCCTTCCTTCCTTCCTTCCTTCCTTCCTTCCTTCCTTCCTTCCTTCCTTCCTTCCTTCCTTCCTTTTTTATTGGTTTTTCGAGATAGGGTTTCTCTGTGTAATCCTGGCTGTCCCGGAATTTGCTCTGTAGACTAGGCTGGCCTCAAATTCACAGAGATCCACCCCTTACTGCCTCTCAGTGCTAGGACTAACTAAAGGCGTGTGCTACCACTGTGCAACTCCTTAGATAGCTTTTAAGAAACTGAAAGCAAAGCTAGGCGTGGTATGGCAGTTTAGAGGCAGACGCAGATCAGATCAACATCCTAGAGATCCGGGCAGAGGTCTCCAGGTGGGACTGACCCAATTTAGCAACTTTATCGCCCGGCCATTCGCGCAGGTGCATGTGGGGATTGGCAGCCTGAACGAGGGCGGAGCTTCCGGAGGATAAGGCGGGCTCTGGGTTGCAGCGGTGGCGGAGGATGGGTTGGAAAGTAGAGCAGCAGTAGACATGCAGGGAGCACAAAGAGGGTTAGGCCACACTGCACATGGCGCGGATTCACTGACTAGCTGCTGCTGTCCTGGCGATGCAGGCACAGTGGCAGTTATTCCCAGTGGAGCTCACCCTGTTGCACGAGCACCGGAAGTCTCCGGTTCGAGCAAAAGCACCATGCCTTTAACCCAAAGGCCGGGGATCCGACATCACAGATTGTATCCTACCGACAGAGACAACTGGGCCACCTTCTGGATGCTTGAGGCTGGGACAGGGGTAGTCGGGGGCGAGGGTGTGATTGAGGTATGTTAACCACGGGCGGTCTGGGCATGAGAAGAGAACAAGGGGTGGAGGGAAATGAGCAGGAATTGCTCAAGTAATGTGAAAGATGTAGTCTGGGGAGCTTAAACCGGATGAGATGTTTTTAGAGGTGCAAGGAGGCAAAATTCAAGATTGTGCCTTTCCTGACTCTCCATCAGTGCTCTTACAGTGCCTTTCCCGACCTCTTTGGAGGCAGAAATCGCCTGTGGGTCCCTAGCTCCTGATGCCGAACCGCACCAAGGACTGTTGGGGAAGGAGCTTAAAGTGAGCGGCTGCGTGCTGGAAGTGTAAGTGCTGAAATAGTCTGGCACTCTGGGTAGGTGACTGGGCTGTTCTCCACCCAAGACTGCACTTCCTTAGAGATGGCACACTAGGGTGATTTCTAAGGAGAGGCTTGGTTGCACTGGACCAGTCTTTATCTGCAGGATATGAGGGGAGATCAAGAAAGAGAAGGAAGCAGAGGCAGATTTCTATGAATTCCAGACCAGTCAGAGCTACATTGTGAGATTCTCTTTCCCAAATAAATAAATAAATAAATAAATAAATAAATAAATAAATAGAAAGANCCATCATGAACTTTCTTGACCAGCTTTCCCTAGTGGTGAACACCATACAACGCTTTGGGCCCCCAGTTTCTCGTTAAGCCTGGCTGGGAGAAGGCGCTCAGGTTTGCCCTTATGTCCGGTCTCTCCTAAACAGTACAAGCAGTACAATCCTACGGAAGAGATTCCAGAAATAGTAACGGCTACTTAAATGCCGGGCCTAATATTTTTTGCCTGACTTGGTCTTCAGGTACTCAGGGGCCACTTGTTTGGTCTGGTGCTTAAATGTTTGTTGCTTTAGAAAATAAAGCTGTGCTTCTAATCTGTATTTGAGTTTATTTTCAGCCTCTAGATTTTCTTTGACTTTTTCCTTGTGTCAGAGGAGAGACTCTAGAATTCAGGTATTTGTTAGTACAAGATAGGCGTATTCACCTAAAGTATGTGGTCCTTGATTCAATCCCAACACTGAAAGTAGATGAAGACAATTTCAGAAATAAAGGAAAATTAAAACTACATGTACCCTCTCATCCAAGGCTCACTAGTGCCTCCACTTTGGGAAACTTTTGGTATAAGAATTTTATCAGTATAATAAATGTGTTGCAATATCATGAGGCCCCTCTTCTGAGGAGATATTGGCAGTTAATGGCTGCTGGGGAAAGGGAGTTGTTTTTCTTCAGTAGTGTAACCATTGTTAAATTGCTCATACTCCTGTAAATAACCCAACACCCATGACTATGCAAGCAACCCTAATTAAACTTAGTAGGGCACTAAAGACAGACATAAAAACAGAGATGTAGTTGTTAGGAAGAAAGGGTTCGATGAGGATGAGAGGATAATAGGGGATAATATAATGTACTTAAAATACTTTATAAACATGTATGAAATTGTCAAAAATTACTTTTTTAAAACAGACTATCATTATGTAGCAGTGGCAGTCCTGGGACTTGCTCTGTAGACCAGGGTGGCCTCAGATGCAGAGCTCTTTCTGCCTTTGCTGGGATTAAAGGTGTGTACTTCCACAACCTGGCTTTAAGATTTATTTTTACTGAGACTGTAGAGATGGCTCAATATTAAGAACACTGGCTTTTCTTCCAGAGATCCTCCGTTTGATCTGCAGCATGCACATGGACTCAAACTGTTTTTATGTCCAGTCCCAAAGCATCCAATGATCCCTTCTGGCCTCTGTGGTCACTTTATTCATGTGGTACACAGACATACAAGCAGGCAAAACACCTATACACATAAAATGAAGTTTTTTAAATCACATGAAAACATTATGACCTGAATTTAAGTCCTGAATCCCACAAAGTAACAGGAAAGAACCAACTCCTAAAAGTTGTCCTCTGACCTTGGGGAGAGCTTGCACATGTGCATACACACACACACACACACACACTAAATAAATATAATTTTAAGTGGATAGCAATAATGGAACGCAAACTTTTTGCAAGTTTAGCATTGTAGTTCTTCCTAAGTATTTTTTCACCTAAAGTGAATTTTCTCTTTCTAGTCAATTTGTTGTTTTTATTTTTTGAGACAGGGTCTCATAGCTTAGGCTGGCCTCAAACTCCATAGCTGCTTTTTGTTTTGTTTTGTTTTTCGAGACAGGGTTTCTCTGTAGCTTTGGAGCCTGTCCTGGAACTAGCTCTTGTAGACTAGGCTGGCCTCAAACTCACAGAGCTCTGCCTGCCTCTGCCTCCTGAGTGCTGGGATTAAAGGTGTGAAACACCACTACCCAGCACATAAAAACAATTTTAAGCATTGTAAAAAAGGCACATATATGATGCAATTTAATATAATTGTTGAATACTTCAAAATTCATTTCATTCATTCATGGGCAGTGGTAGTACACGCCTTTAATTCTAGCACTTGGGAGGGGCAAAGGCAGGAGAATCTCTTGAGTTTGAGGCCAGCCTGGTTTATAGAGCAAGTTTCAGGACAGCCAGAACTACACAGAAAAACCTGTCTTGAAAAACAAACAAAAAAAAGTTTGAAAAACAAAAAAAAGTTTGAAAAACAAAACAAAAAAAAAAGGTTTGAACAGATCATTATTCTTGGTTAATTTTTGAGCTATCAGTAAGATTTCTTTGAATGTTCTTGACATACCCTAGTGAATTGCACTACTGCGAATAAGTCTCTACTCACCAGATACTGGTTTCCCAAATCCTTAGCACTGCTGATATTCTCCCTCCTAAACCAATACCAATATACTCCCCCCCCAAAAAAACTTTGTTTATGTAAGAACAAATAACCCAGAAACAGCTTAGGTTTTGTAGCCTCTCCACCTATCAAGGAAAAGTGCCTGACAACTGGCATTTGGGGATACACATTAACCCCCTATAAAACATATGTCTTGCAACTTGGCTACATTCAGCCTAGTGGTTCATCTGTAGATGCCATGAGATTTTCACTATAGGTTATCATGTTTCTTAGAATAAAGGCAGTTGTGCCTCTTCCTTTCTACTCTGAATGACTAATTATTTATTTCCTTCTATCTGAGTTGAGTTTTTCTGCTTCTTTGTATCCCTTGGAAAGCAACTGAGTCTTTGTATGTTACTTTGAGGGTGTGCTGCATGGAGCAGAATCTGTGTATAGAAGTAGGTTTTCATCACTACTAAGGCATGACTCTTCTGACCCTGACCCTGCCTCACAAAAGAGGAGGGAGCTACTAGTCCCTGTCTTGTTTTCAGTGCTAGGCAGTTAAGACAGGGGCAGATAATTTTCCCAGGTCTCAGTCTCTTTCCTCACACATCTGTGCTCCTGTGTCCTGTGTAATATTCAACTAGAACCCACTGGGTGCATCTAGGGTTCTGTCCCTCTGCTTGCCTTTTCTTCACTATTCTGCCCTGAATTCAAAAGCCATTCCAAGTTCCTATTCGGAGTCTCATCTGTTAAACTTGGTGTCAGTTATTGATCTGATGGGCTCTGGTATTAGTGTTCGCTCTTATTTCTTTTTCTTAATCTTTATTTTAGAGACAGAGGCTGGAGAGATGAATGTAAGTCCCTATTGCTGAAGACACCATGTTTAAGATACAAGATTTGATTTAAAAAAAAATAATTGTGTGTGTGCGTGCTAAGTTTGAGTTCATGCATGTGAGTGCGCGTGCCCCTGGAGACCAGAAGGCATCAGATCCTCTGGAGCTGCAGCTGAGTTCACTGCTATGGATGCCAGGAACTAAACCCAAGTCCTCTGGAAAAACAGCAGTGTGTACCCTTAGTGGCTGGGCCATCTCTTCAGTCTCCCAAACAAGGCACTTAAAATATTTTTAATTGATTCTTTGAGAATTTCATACAATGTATTGTAATCATTTACTCCCACACCTCCCTTAACTCCTCCCAGATTCACCACTGCTTCTTTAACCCCCTCCCCAACTATGTCCTCTTGTGCTGCCCATGTATTTCTGGGTGTGAGACCATTCACTGGAGCATGGTTGATCTATAAAAAACCACACCCTTAAAGAAAACTGATTTTCCCTCCCCTAGAAGCCATACACTATTAATAGCTCCCCAGTAATAGGTGGGAGCTCATGAACTGCTTCCCCTTAATATTAAACTGTTGGCTACCTTGATCTTGTACAGGTCTTATGAGGCAACTACAGCTGCAAAACAAGACTTTAACCTTTTAGTGGGAAAAAAAAGAATCCCATAAGCCAGGTGTGGTTTTCATATTGTTTTTTGATAGTTCATATGGCCCATGCTGGCCTAGAGTTTAGTTTTCTTTTAAATTAGTTTGATTGGGCTGGAGAGATGGCTCGGAGGTTGGGAGCACTGGCTGCTCTTCCAGAGGTCCTGAGTTCAATTCCCAGCAACCACGTGGTGGCTCACAACCATCTGTACTGAGGTCTGGCGCCCTCCTCTGTCCTGCAGGCATACATCAAGGCATATGTTGTATACATAATAAGTAAATAAATAAATCTTTAAATTAGTTTGATTATATGTTTTATGTGTGCATGTTTTGCCTGCATGTATATCATGTGCGTGCCTGGTGCTTGAGGAGGCCAGAAGAGGGCATCAGATTTCCTGGAACTGGAGTTAGAAATGGTTGTGAGCCACTATGTGGGTGCTGGAACTTGAAGCTGGATCCTGTGGAAAAGCAACCCATGCTCTTAACCACCCCGCCATCTCTCTAGCCCCCACTGAAGAATTTTTGTAACACGAGGGGACATGTCTCTTATTTGCAGCATCTCTCTGTCTTCAACTCCAACTAATACTGTGCTAAAAGGGCAGGATAGAAGCAGGGAAATGGGCAAATCTGAGTAGAAACAGTGAATGCAAGGAAAAGGAAGCAGATTTATTCAGTCTTAAAGTAGGAGCCACCAGGATTGCCTAATGGACTACCCATTGCTATGATCTTCCTCAAATCATCAGAAATACTATAAAGAGTTATATTTTCTCCCACAGTCTGGCTCATCCATAGCCCAGCAGGTCTACCCACTTGCCCCAAAGACAAAGATGTGCACTGACCCCATTTCCCAACATTTAATTAGGAAAAATTACAACAACAAAGGAAAACTCATGCAACAAAAGAAGAGTGGGACTAGGGGTCTGGAACCATCAGATAGGGTCAGATTCCTCAGAGGAGGCAGGAGACACAAAATAGTAAGGCACTGCCACCTTGGCCCCTTAGGGGTGGGCACATGATGGGGCAGTTGCGGCTGAAGGGGTTCAGGGCAAGTGCCTACAACACTGAGGAAATTTGGCAGTAGGGACACAAGGAATGTCCCAGAGGCCCAGGCCCACATCAGACCCAAGCACAACCTGGTTATAGTTTTCTCAGAGACAACAGGCCCCATGAAAATGTGGTCTGACTCCTGAAACATCTGTAGAGGGACAATGGCTGGCCAGGCCCAGCCAATTTGAGGGCAGCTTCAAGATGTATCATTCAACCCCAAATGCTGCTGGTACTGAAGCTCTGTTAGGACAAGTGGGGCCTGACACGGCAAAGGTGAGATGCCAGAGGCTGAGCCAAGACTAGCAATGTCACAAAGGAACCAGGACAGGAAGCAAGGCCCAGATCAACCAAGGAGGCAGTCTGTGAGGCTGGCAATATCCCATGGGACATGTATATTTACATATGGAAATTAAGGTGGGGTTAGGTTAATAAATAGGTGGGTAGGGTGTACAGAGCTAGGAGGGCAAGG